CGTTTACAGTATGGTTTTAATTTAATAACAAATGGTGTTATTGAAATATCTGCTTGTTTGTCATCTGTGTTTGCATTGAGAGGCTCTTAAAAACATTTTGGGACCTCCCTATGAAGCTATTGGCAGCCACTGCAACATGAGTTCAACCCCTGCCCTGAAAGCTAACCCAATGATGTAGCAGACCTCTCCTGTCTCGCCCACTGCTCTCCTCAGCAGTGTATTTCAGTAGACCTGTCTGTTCTGCTCTCTACTCTGTCTCTGGTGAATCCTCTCCCTCCCCACACTTCTAGTCTACACCCAGTTCTTATATGCATAAATAAATAAAAATTAATCTTTAAAAAATTTAAAAAATAATTGTGTACACTCCCATCCTATTGGCTTGTTTTTTCGATGTTGAAGCTTGACATATTTTTCAAATATATATCCTAGATCCGTGTCCTTTACCAGATATATATTTTCATAATTTTTCTTCTAATCTCTCTTATCTTTTAATTTTTGTTTTTTCCAGTTTTATTCAGTATGATGGAGAACTTAAAAATTGTATATGTTTGCACTCTATAATCTGTATTCATTGTGATGTTTTAAATATTTCTTTATGCATTCGGAACTGGGGTACAGTCCAGAGGTGCAGGGGCATTGAGAGGATTCACTGAGACAGAGCGGGGAACAGAACAGGCAGATCAACGAAGTACATTGCTGAGGAGAGCAGTAGGTAGGTCAGGAGAGGTCTGCGGTGCCATGTGGGTCACCTCCAGAGCAGGGATCGAACTCATGTTGAAGTGGCTTTAGCTTCGTAGTGCTGTGCCTTAACCCGTTGCACCACCAGCGAGGGCCCGATACTGATACTTTTATAGTAGTTTTTAATTTTGATAAAGTATAATTTATTCCTTTTTTCTATGGACCAATGAGAAATATGCAGTTTTATTAGCATTTTAGGCCATTAATGTAACATTATGCCCAAGTAATAAAAGTGTAAAAACTACATCAACCATCCTTAAGCAGAAATCTAAATCACCTCGATTTTAATAATCTTTTAAGGTTGTGGTGTCTTCTGTTACTCCCATGTCCATAATGTGTCATAGAAAGAACAAGTTGTATCATAATCCAAAAATAAAACCTATAGGAGTACAATTGGATGTCAAAATACTCTGTTTCATCATAAAAATTTGCAATGTAAAACTAATAGGATACAAGTGCTGTATTATACACAGAATAAAGACACGTGGCCACGTGGTTTCTCTCTATTCTATAGTAGTCACATAATTTTGTTTCTTTACCCTGCCTTTAGGCTCCCACTAAAAGGGAAAAAGTAAAAGAAAATGAGTTAGAAATAAGTATTAAAAAGATAGAACAATTAGCAAAAGATTCCTTACCCTTTCTTTTTTATTCTTCCACTCAGATTTTGTAGGGTAGCTTTGATAGCCAACTAACAATGCAGTGTTTGTCATAGGCAATATAATATGCATAGAGTAAATACTTAGGGAGAAAAAAACTTTTTGACAGAATTAATGTACCTCCAAGAAATTTACAAGTTATTAAACACCCAGCCATGCAGAGATTTTCCTTAGCAGCATTTTCTCATTAGTAATAGGGAGTGATGAAGCATGAAGCCAGTGGAGGGAACAAGATGGGTGTGAAGTGCAGAGTTTGAAGACCTTGCCAGGTTTAACTGTTGCCATGGAAACTTGTTTTGGGATGTTTTCTAAGGGATGAAATTGGTTAGGTAATCAATGAGCCTACCACTTTCTGTCAAAATAAATGTTTTGTAAGTATGTGAATGATTTTGTTAATTTCCCACTCAAAAGGCTATTCTGTGGTGATATTTAGACAGGGCATAGTAGGTCCTTTCCAATACTCCATGTCAGCTAAGTACATATGCCTTAGTTAATTAAACTTGTGTGACCTGCAGGATGTTACCCAACCTCGTGTGCCATGTTGCTTAATACTAACATAGGCCCCGTGAATAAATGTGACATTTGTTAGAGGGGCTAAATAGGTAATGAGTGGGTAGTATTTAGGTTGTACATAACACAACAAGCAGTCAGTAAATGCTTTTTCCCTATTTTGGGAAGAAACCATTAATATAAAATTACATTGCTCCATCTTTACACTTTAGTCTGATTTTATTTATATATGAAGAGGAAGCCACTTAGAATGTTTAGCAGAGGAAAAAACTATTTGTCAAACTAAAAAGCCTGTGCTATTAAAAACATAATGCCTATAATTACTATTTCTGTTAGACTTTATTCATAGTACTCTCTACAAACAAGCTAAAAATCTCCATTAGCTCCAGGATGCTGTATCTTAGACCATTGCTCTTGCAGTAACTTCTCAAAGTAATTAATGATTTACTTATCATTTTTATAAACTCAAGTACTACAATCAAACTTTTTTAAATCTCTTTTTTATTATTTGGTTGGCCAAAGACAGAACAGAGGAAAATAAGGAAATAAATGTAATCACATGGACATATGTTATGGAAAAAAATTTTTGAAGCATATTCCTCTCATAATCATTATGGTATTTAGTTTGAAGGTTCATTGCGGGTGTTGGGATTGCTGCATCAAATGTAGTTCTTTATAATAAGTTTACAAGCATTTGACTGCCTCTTCTACAGTAGCTAATTAGTAACCAAAAAATAAAGATGCAATTTTAAAATGTAATTGTTTAGAAATAAAACTATAATTACATTGCCAAGAGAAAGGTTTTTCACTGGAAAAAAATACATTTAAATTAGTGGCATAATTCTTAGCTAAGATGCATTCTTTAAAAGTATTATTTCAATTAAAAGATAAGATACGCCTGTAATTTCTTTTATAGTTCTCTTCACCCATTTCTATTTTTGAAAGAAATACTTATTTTAAGGCTTCATTGATTAGCCACTAGAATACTTAATTTCTCATTGGTATGTAATATATGGTCCTGCTATACTTATATAGGGATTTTGGACTGCTTAACAGCCTATTGTTCAATTTCTATTTGCTAAGGAATAATAAAAATGGAATAACATTTCAGTGGGTGAACTGGAGGAAGAAAGAATATGCCAGTATAGTAATGGACTGAAAGAGAAAAGAATGGAGGATGTGTACTACTTTTAATTCTTGAGAATATTTCACAGTATTTAAAATATTGATTAGACTTTCTTATTATTCAGTGCACATAGGTTGTTAACACATGTGAGTTTATCCAGATAATAGTTTTATCTAGCAGAATCACTTTTTAAATTTCCTTTTCAAATTGTTCATTGCTAGTGTGTATAAATTGAACTGATGTTCTATGTTGATGTTGTGTCCTGCATATTTGTTAAGTGTATTTCTTAGGTCTAATGTGAGTGTGTATGTGAGAGAGAGAGATAAAGTGTGTATATATGTGATCATTTTAACTTTGTACTTGTAAGATTGCACCATCTATGAACAGATAACTTGATTTATTTCCAATTATGTTGCCTTTGCTACGTTTGTTTGCTTTACGTAAGTGGTCTGGCTAGAAATCCTGATATTATATTGAATAAAAGTGGCAAAAACACACATCCTTACTGAGTGCCCTCCTCTTAGAGGAAGCATGTTTAGTATTTTAACATTGAATATATATTTGAGCTGTGGGTTTTTCCTGTACAGCCATCATACTTTTTAGGTAGTTGTCCTCAAGTCTTCATTTATTGAATGCTTTTTCCATGAAAGTTTGCTGAATTTTGCTAAATAAATTTTATCCATCTATTGAGATGATTGTGTGTTTTACTTCATTGTCTTAACATGATCTGTTCTATTGAATGCTGTTTGTATAGAGACTTTCCTTGCTCTTTCCATTCATTCACTCATTCATTCCTAAAATGATTCCTGCAGGTTCATAATCTATCTATCTATCTATCTATCTATCTATCTATCTATCTATCTATCTATCTATCTATCTATCTATCTAATGATTATAATGTGCTGCTGAGTTCGGTTTGTTAAAAATTTTATTAACAATTTTTGCATTGATGTTCATAGGGATAATGGACTTTAGTTTTTGTTTTGTCTGCTTTATATATCAGGTGATTGATGGTTTCCCAGAATACGTTAGGAAGAGCTACCTCCTCTTAAATATTTTGGAAGTGTTTGAGAAAGAATGTTGCTGATTCATCTTCAAATATTTGATATAACTTAATAGTCACGTCATCTGGTACTGGGCTTTTCTTTGTAGGAAGAGTTTTACTACTGATTCAGTCTCTCTCTTTTTTTTTTTCAAATACACATATTCTATTCATGTGTTTCAGTTTTAGTTATTCGTGTATTTGTAGAAAATTGTCCACTTCACCCAATTATCTAGTTTTTAAATGTTCATAGTGTTTATAATGCTTTTTATTTTGGTGCAAGCCATCACATTATCCCCCCTTTATTTCTGATTTAAGTCTTCTCTCCTTTTGTTCTTAATTTAGCTAAAAGTCTGCCAGTTATGTCAATCTTTTCATGAGTCAGCCTTTGTGTTGTGTATTTTTCTCTATAGCTTTTCTATCCTACATTTCATTTGTCTTCATGCTAACCTTTATTATTTCCTTCTTTCTGCTGTTTTTGGATTAGTTTACTTCTTTTTCTAGTGCCTTGCAATATACAGTTAGGTTGTTGACTTGAAATTGCTATTTTTAAATGCATGGATTTGCTGCATAGATTTTCTCCTTAGCACTGCTCTCACTGCATGCCATGTTTTCTACAATATATTCTCTAATTTCCCTTGTGATTTCTTCTTTGAAATACTATTTGAGTTTTTTTTAAGTCAATTTTAGTATAACAAAGATTCCAGAGAGTACCACCTTTTGTTGTTAACAAGTTTTTGAAGCATATTAATGGTTTACATATTAAGTAATAAGAGTTCATAATAGGATCTTATATAACATAAAGTAAAACTTTTAGTGAGGTAAGAAGTAGCATGTTAAAAATGACTTAGAAATAGCAAGCATTGAAGATCAAATAAGTTTTAACTAATACCTATTTAATCTGATATCTTGAACCTATGTGTTGTAGGTACAATTTCATTTTCTGTTAAAAGCAAACAAGATGATGATTCTCAGGAAGATTCAGATCAAGGTATATATCAAGATTTCAGCCTTCAGGGGTCAGGATCAGAGCTATTCCACAGTTTTGATGAGGATTACTCAGGTAAATTTATTATTATGAAGAGTTTCACAATCAGTTTTCATAAACCTTTATTGTTCACTTTTAAATAAATATATGCTATGATACACATACAAATATGTTTTAACATTGGCAAGAATCTTAGTGTTGTATTTTGTATTAATTTTATGTAGCTTATTGCTGGATTTCTACTGCTGTTAACATTAACACATCATGATATTTTAACCTGAATGCTATTTGTTTGATAATTGAAAAAATTACAGTTTTTTAATTTAAAAAATTATGGCTAATTTCTGAAAATATTAATGTATTGTTTCAAAAATATAATACATTTTCTTAGTTCAGTATATATGATAGCAGTCTTCCTGATATGCAGAAGAAAATACTATTATTTTCCTTCCTGTATTATAGTTTTATTTTAAGGTTATTAAACATCTTATGTTTAAGCTCCAAAGGCAAATGTAATGAGAGTTGAAATAAATAGGGAAGCTTTCCTGAAGGATGTGTGAATGAGGTCTTTTATGGGTGAGTAGCAGGAACAGAAAATGGCATTAGGGAAGAGTGCGATACATTAAGAGGAGCAAATCTTTATTGATTGGGTTTATATTAGAATTCTTCAGAGGAGAAGCACATATGGCCATTACATATTGATCTATATAGGATGGGAGTAGGTGAGAGAGTGAGATTAAGGACTTGGCTAACATGGTTATTTATTATTTGGAAACTAGCAAGTCCGCAATAAGCAAGGCAAGCAAGAAAGGTAGAAAGTTTGGTTAAGAGTTGCTGTTGCAGTCTTGAGTCCAAATTCCCCTGGGCAGACCGAGTAAGCTGCAAGTTCTGGAAGGGTTTGAGTTTTAATTTTGATTTGGGATTTCTTCTCAGATAATCTGACTTTATTGTTAGGATCTTCAACTGGTTAGGAGTTAAACCTACATTGTGGAGGACAGTCGACTTTATTCCTGGTATTGTGATGTTAATGTTATCCACATTTAAAATTACCTTTACAACAGTGGTTGTTTAATCAAACAACTGGACATCAGTCTAGCCAAGCTGACACATATTATAAATCATCATAGCATATATGGATTAAGAAGTAGTTAGGCAATAATCAAAATTGTTTGAAAAAGGGAAGAACTGTTGGGGCCACTACAAAAAACGAAGTGGGGTTGAAGTAAAGGGAACAGTGTTGGTGATGGGGCTAAAAAGAATACTGTTGCAGAAGGAAAATGCTTCAGAAACTAGCATTAGTTTACTTTTGGAAGAGGAGATAACAAGAGGGGATTGGTTCCAAAAATATTCATAAATAGGAAAATATTAATAGAAAAATTGAGAAACACTATGAATTTGTTTAGTGTTTTAGTAGAGGCCCCCTGGGTGTCAAATGCAAACAAAAGACTACAAGGGAAAGTGAAATAGGGAATTTGGATGTTCACAGATTTTAGAGCAGGTACTGGAAGGTACAAGACATACCTCAAAGGAGCACACACAGAGGTCACGGCAGGGAGTGGGAAAGGACCCTGGGGACAATTTTGAAAGAAAATAACAATACCATGAAGTTTTGTTAATGGACTAACATAGAGGTATGTCTAATAGCTAAGACAAGTGCGCCATGCGCCATATTATTGGACTAAAATGAAGTGATGCTAATAAAAAAAGCAAAAACCACTCAGCAGCATTATGAAAAGCTACAAAGAGCAGTGAAAAACACATCTGTTAACATTGTTGCTACCATAAGTCTGCAACAAGCCTTTCCCGTATCCCAACTTTTTCTAAAAAAGCTTTATTTATGCATACAGAACCGGGGTACAGGCCAGAGGTACAAGGGCAGAGACAGAGTGGGGAGCAGAACAGGCAGATCAACGAAGTACACAGCTGAGGGGAGCAGCGGGCGAGACAGGAGAGGTCTGCTGTGCCAAGTGGGTCACCTCCAGGGTAGGGATCGAACTCACACTGAAGATGCCAAGGCCTGCCTCACAGTGCTGTGCTTTAGCCCATTGTGCCACCAGGGAAGGCCCACATCCCTACTCTAAAGGTTAATCTTCCAATTCTCTGTAGTTACATGGGTCTTTTTTCAGAGCAGAATGCTTAGCAGCATATTTCTTTTCAACTAGTAAGTTTTAGTTTTGCAAACTGAGTCAGTTGCAGAATTAACTGCAATAAGATCGTGTATACTTAAAACTTGCCAGGAAGGAAAATTTTAAATGTGTTCATACTCTTATGCATGTTATTGCTGTTTGAGGTGATGGATATGTTAACTAGCCTTATTGTGGTGATTATTTCCCAATGTCTTATGTATATCAAATCAAGGTACATACCTTAAGTATTTGTAATTTGTACTAGTCAGTTATACTTCAATAAAGCTGGAAAATGAAAAAGACTAAATCTAAATAAGGTTTTTTTTTCCATCTTACACATAAGGAAATATGAAAAATAATGGGAACACCCCATTTTTAATGAGAGTCTATTCTTAACTTTGGCCTTAGGCTAGATTCTTCTAGTACTGAAAACGTACCATTGTGAATTCTAATATCACTTTTAGACATTTCTGTATACAATGTGTAAGTGCTTTGGAAACTAGAGAATGATTGGTTGTTTCTTTTGAAATACTTACCCTTCATATAAAAGAAAAAATTCTGGGCTTCCTTGGTGGCCCAGTGGTTAAGAGCCAGTATTATCATACTATTACTGCTGTGGCCTGAGTTCAATCCTTGGCCGGGGAGCTGACTCACATGGCACTGCAGACCTCTCCTGTCTCACCTGCTGCTCCCTTCAGCAGTGTATTTCAGCTGACCCCCTGTTCTGCTCCCCATTCTGTCTTTGGTGAATCTTCTCACCCCCCACACCTCAGGCTTACCCCCCACCCAGTTTTTGTATTCATAAATAAATAGA